TCTCACACAGCTATAGCTGCCAGCAGTGATCATTGTGTTCTGACGGCTGGGAAACCTCCCACTGTCAGAATACAACAGCTTCACACAGGGCGTTTTTTTCTCTCAGAGAAGTGCAGGAACTCCCCACCGTTTGAGTCACCCCCTACCCACCTCCAAGCACCATCCCTTTGTTTCACCTCCTACCCACCTCCAAGCACCATCTGTTCATTTCACCTCATACCCACCTCCAAGCACTGTCCCTTCATTTCACCCCCTACCCACCTCCAAGCACCGTCCCTTCATTTCACCCCCTACCCACCTCCATGCACCGTCCCTTCATTTCACCTCCTACCCACCTCCAAGCACCGTCCCTTCATTTCACCCCCTACCCACCTCCAGGCACCGTCCCTTCCTTTCACCTCCTACCCACCTCCAAGCACCGTCCCTTCCTTTCACCTCCTACCCACCTCCAAGCAACGTCCCTTCCTTTCACCTCCTACCCACCTCCAAGCACCGTCCCTTCCTTTCACCTCCTACCCACCTCCAAGCACCGTCCCTTCCTTTCACCTCCTACCCACCTCCAAGCACCGTCCCTTCCTTTCACCTCCTACCCACCTCCAAGCACCGTCCCTTCCTTTCACCTCCTACCCACCTCCAAGCACCGTCCCTTCGTTTCACCTCCTACCCACCTCCAAGCACCGTCCCTTCGTTTCACCTCCTACCCACCTCCAAGCACCGTCCCTTCGTTTCACCTCCTACCCACCTCCAACACCGTCCCTGCGTTTCACCTCCTACCCACCTCCAAGCACCGTCCCTTCGTTTCACCCCCTACTCACCTCCAACAATAGACCCCATGTAAAAATAGATTACAATCAGTGACAATAGATCCCAAAGTAGCCAACATCAATAGACCCTCTAGTACACCCCGGCATCCCTTGCCATTACATACATTCAGTGCTGGAGGTGCCAGAACTGTGTTCCCCCCTGTTCCCATAAGCCCTAGCTCTGGGAGGTATTGTTGATGGGGGAATCAAGTGATTTTCTTTCCTGCAATCTGCAGTTGAAGGAAATAAAATTGGTTAATGAATGGCCTGCCTTAGAGCTCACTTCTGTGACAAAGGGGGTGAGCAGTATTTGCTGGGAGTGTCTTAGCAACATCCTAGCAACAAGGCAGGATGGGGTGATGCCATCTCTGGGAGTATTTCAGTCAGGCTTCAGGAGGTAAATGGCCTACATCTACAGCAAGGACATTATTTAACTTGAGTCAGAGCTGCACAGTTTGTCTTTATGTACAGGTGCCACTTACCTGCATGGGCAGCTTTTTTGATAACGGTGGACTAACCCTTTAAAGTTTAGTTCATAATTAAAATGTATTAAATCCCAGAAACACTCAGTGGCCTAGTGTTTTCCCCACAATCTTTATCGTGCATTTAGGTTATTGTTAGAGATGTGCACAACAGAAAAATAACTGTCTTTTCGTTTCGGATTCGTTGGTTAAGTTAATAATTTTGTTTCCTCATATTTGTTATGTAAGTATGATTCGTTTTTGGAATTGGTTTCATATAGTCGGATTTGCTTCTTATATTTATTATTTTTCAAATTGATTTGAAATTCAAGTTCGAAATTGAATTTCGGATTTTAGAAGACGTCTATATTCGTTATATTTTATTCTAGTCTTTTCTATTCTACATTATTCTTTTCTTTTCTGTTCTCTTCTATTTTTTTATATTGTATTCTTTTCTGTTCTATCCTATGCAATTCTGTTCCTTTATATTCTATTCTATTCTTTTATTTTTGCAGGCAGTATGGTGGCTAAATGGTTAGCACTTCCGCCTAGCAATACTAGGGTCATTGGTTCAAATCCCAGCCACGGCACCACCTGTCTAGAGCTTGCATGCTCTCCCTGTGCCTCCATGGGTTTCCTCTCACATTCCAAAGCCATGCTGATAGGTGAATTGACTCCTGTCTAAATTGGCCCTAGTATGTGTATGTATAAATGTAACTTAGGGACCTTAGATTGTACGCCCCTTGAGGGTTAGGGACTGATGTGAATGTACAATGTGCATAAAATTGACAGCACTTTATTAAGTACCTGAAATAAAGAAAAAAAATACATATTCTATTATTTTATATTTTATATTATTCTATTCTAGTCTGTTTTATTCTATTCTTTTCTATTCTCTTTTCTTTTATATTGTATTCTATTCTTTTCTATTATATCCTATTCCTTTATATTCTATTCTTTATTTTCTCTTCTGTTTTATTCTATTCTTTTCTATTTTCTATTATTCTATTCCATTCTAGTCGGTTTTAGTCTGTTCTTTTTTATTCTATTCTACTTTATTATTTTCTTTTCTCTATTCTTTTCTATTCTGTTCTATGCAATTCTATTCCTTTATATTCTATTCTGTTCTATTCTTTTATGTTCTCTTCTTTCTGTTTTATTCTATTCTTTTCTGTTTTCTATTATATTCCATTCTAGTCTGTTTTATTCTGTTCTTTTCTATTCTATTCTACTTTATTCTTTTCTTTCTCTTCTATTCTTTTATATTGTATTCTATTCTTTTCTATTCTGTTCTATGCAATTATATTCCTTTATATTCTATTCTGTTCTATTCTTTTATGTTCTCTTCTGTTTTATTCTATTCTTTTCTGTTTTCTATTATATTCCATTCTAGTCTGTTTTATTCTGTTCTTTTCTATTCTATTCTACTTTATTCTTTTCTATTCTTTTATTTTCTCTTCTATTCTGTTTTTATTCTATTCTTTTCTATTTTCTATTATTCTATTCCATTCTAGTCTGTTATTCTTTTCTATTCTATTCCATTCTATTCTACTCTTTTTAGCAGTCTAAGTAGGAATAGTCATCTTATTTCACTTGTATACCTTGCTGTATTTATTGCAATATGTTCCTCTTAGATTGTAAGCTCCCAGGATCAGGCCCTCCTAACCCTCTTGTATTGAACTGTATTGTTGCTGTATTGTCTCCCGTTATATTGTAAAGCGCTGAGCAAACTAGTGGTGCGATATAAATCCTGTATAATAATAATAAGTTTCCATTTCAAATTCATTTTTCAATTTTAATTCATATTCAAATTTGAATATTTCGTTTCATTATCATTTATTTCAGATTTGTTGAAATTTGTTACTATTGTGATTCAGAAATTCAGATACATCCGAATAACGAAAATTTCGTCTGAACTTCAATTGGTAACAAAACGAATGGCACATGTTTAGTCATTAGTTAGATACGGTATGGCATGACCGGAGGTAATGGGGCGTACAGTTCCTTGTGCTCCTGGCCAGGCTACATGTGGCTCTTCTCCTACCTCCCTTGGATACGAAGCACATGGTTTGAGAAAACACACAATAAACCTGCATGTGAACACGCGAAAAATGTAAGTAAACAGAAGTGTAAAGTCATCCTTCGGGTGTTCTCTGAGTATATCCAAGCAGATGGGTAACATTCTTTTCTGCATCTAGGAAACCAATGTTGTGGCATCAAGTGTAGAGAAGTTGAATGGGGAATTCTGTGTGGTTCCTCCTCCCACCCTCGTCTCAATACCCAGCCACGTCCCCTGCTATTCTGCATGTCGCCGTCAGTCCCAGCCTCTCCTCTGGGCTGTCAGGTTAGTGGATGATTTGGGGGTTTGTTCTGGGAAGAGGTGGGGGGGTCATGGATAGTCCCTGTGCTACTACTGCAGAATCCAAGGTGTGGCTCCTGGCATTAACCCCCAAGGCCAATCCCTGCCACCCTCTGGGCATCCTCCAGCCGTGCTCCTCGAGATCACAATGCCACTGGAAGATGTAAGGAGCTAATGAATGGTTTGCATTGCAGGCAGCACTAGGTAATTGCTCTGCTATGCTAATGCTTCTTATTGTTGCTGGGAAACTCGGCTGTTTGTTTAGATGGACGGCAGCTGCTGCAGAACCTCTTTTTCTGTGTATCAGAGACAGTCCTGTCATTGTCTGAATATGAAGATGGTAATGCATGTGACTGCCATGTAATTCAGGACCTCCAGGGTGAAGCGGCTGTTGCCTATTTGGTGAAGGCATCGATCTATCAGGAGATGTTACTCCCATAGCCGCTCGCCTACCGGGCACTCCCCCCCCCCCCCCCCCCCTGCCCAGGCCAATTTTGAATGACAATTGCGCAGTCATGCAACACTGTACCCATATGACATTTTTCTAATTTTTTTCCCACAAACAGAGCTTTCTTTTGGTGGTATTTAATCGCCGCTGGGTGTTTTATATTTTGCACTATAAACAAAACGAGCAAAAAATGTGAAAAAAAAAAAAGTTTCTTTGTCTATTATAAAACTTTGCAAACAGGTAATTTTTCTCCTTCACTGATGTGCGTTGATGAGGCGGCACTGATAGGCAGCACTGATGGGCACTGATAGGTGGCACTGATGGGCACTGATAGGCGGCACTGATGGGCACTGATAGGCGGCACTGATGGGGTGGCATGGATAGGCAGCACTGATGGGCACTGATAGGCAGCACTGATTAGGTAGCACTGATGAGGTGGCACTGGTGAGCATTGATGAGGAGGCACTGATGATAAAGCACTGATAGGCAGCACTGATGGGCACTAATAGGTGGCACTGATTGGCACTGATAGGCGGCACTGATAGGTGGCACTGATGGGCACTCATAGGTGGCACCGATGAGGTGGCATGGATAGGCAGCACTGATGGGCACTGATAGGCAGCACTGATTAGGTGGTACTGATGAGGAGGCACTGGTGAGGATTGATGAGGAGGCACTGATGATAATGCACTGATAGGCAGCACTGATGGGCACTGATAGGTAGCACTGATAGGCGGCACTTACTGATGGCAATGACAGACAGCCCAGCCTGGAGGCACTACTGAGCACTGATAGGTGGTATTGCTGGGGGCACTGATTGGTGGCACTGCTGGGCACTGGTGGATAACACTGCTGGATACTGGTGGGTGGCACTGCTGGGTGGCACTGATCATCAGAGCACTGATGATCAGTGCCAATCTCCTCTGTGACAGCTGTTGGTTATCGGCAGTACTTTCCTCACGCCGTGACAGCGTGAGGAAAGTGCTACCGATGACAGGTAACTGTATTAGGTGGCACTGATGAGGTGGCACTGATGAGCATTGATGAGGAGGCACTGATGATAATGCACTGATAGGCAGCACTGATGGGCACTGATAGGCGGCACTTACTGACGGCAATGACAGACAGCCCAGCCTGGAGGCACTACTGAGCACTGATGGGTGGTATTGCTGGGGGCACTGATTGGTGGCACTGCTGGGCACTGGTGGATGGCACTGCTGGATACTGGTGGGTGGCACTGCTGGGTGGCACTGATCATCAGAGCACTGATGACCAGTGCCGATCTCCTCTGTGACAGCTGTCGGTTATCGGCAGTACTTTCCTCACGCTGTGACAGCGTGTGGGAAAGTGCTCCCGATGACAGGGAACTCTCTATTTACTCCGTGATCTACTGTGTCATTGGACACAATTGATCTCTGAACGTACTGTCAGTTACCGCTCTCTGCTCTTCCCTTCCAGTGCTCACTGGAGCAATGGGCTGGGGAGGGGGCTTTAGAAAGAGCCAGCTGTCAATCAGGCAGCTGGGTGGATCCCGACAATATGGCCGGGATCCTTCGAGAGCCTGGAGTGGCTCTGTGATGTCAGCTCATCCCATAGGAGAAGTATGAAGTACAGAAAAAGTTGGCCATACTTCTCTTTTAAAACTTAGATAAGCTTTACTAAGACAAAATAATGTCCAGAATAGCTGAAAATAGCTTCCATATTCCTAACACCCATTGCACATGTAAATAAAAGACATACCCCCCCCCCAGAGCAGCATTAAACCCAAAACATATAAACACTGTGACATATTGTCACCTACCGATCGCTAGATGTGGTGGCTGCATTTGTTTTCCTTTTTAGGCTTTCCTCCCTCTGTTTTCACCTCATGATCTGGCCAGTAACACACCTTGTGTATTAGATGAAGTATCACAGGGGGCACCTTTGGACAGCAGCATTGTCAGTCTGTGGGGAGGGGAGAGTTATATGTACTAGCAGATTTAGATACACTAACAAATTGATGCCAAACTCCTTTATAAGCAGTTACAGCAAACTGTTTTTTTTTTTCTTCTGAAATAAAGGTTTTACATAAATTAAGAAAAGTTGAACACTGTAAGCACCCCTGCCAGTGTTAAATGGTTTGTCTCATCTCTGTAACTGAAAACCTTTCTGCAGAGCTTGTTCTTTTGAAAAACAACAGACTACCCAGCCAGGTCACCAGATGAAAATAGAAGAAAGTCTAAAAAAAAAAAAAAAATGAATGCAGCCATCACATCTAAGAAATGGTAATGATATAATAAATGTTTAATACCACTTTAAAGCAGACCTCCCACCCCATCCAATTGAATTGAATACAGCTTAGCAGTCTAAGTGCAAAATGCATTACATTTAGCTTTGGTTACTTGTCTTTCCTTGTATTGTAATTGCAGTTTCTTTGGTGTGTTTACTCCTGTGGATAGGAACCCATCTTTTAAACGCTCGTCTTTAGCAGCTGGCGCACCTATGATGTCATGCCTGATCGTGGTCCTACACTGTATCTAGCTTTGGTATGTTGAATGGCACACCAGGGTTGGATCTAGACTATCTGATCTGGGAGTGTAGTATAAAAGGTCAGGGGGCATAATGACAACAATGTAACAGAGATGCCATCGGTATTCCCCATTCTCTCAGCGTGTTTCTTTAGCACAACTGGGAAATAATGTCTGACCGGTAGTGCAGAAGTGGTGCAGGAGTGAACAGGGAATGCTAGTATGTATTATGCTGTCATTCAATTAGGATAATTATATAGAACCTGTGTCCCCTTATATCAAGTGCCCCTATCAGAGTCCACCCTTCATTAGGGGGTCTTCATCATTGTTCTTCTTAGCATCTGGTGTCCACATCAAAGAGCCCCCTTGCATCAACTGTCTGGATCAGAGTACCTCTTTACACCAACTGTCCTCATCAGACCCCCCTTACGTCAATTGTCCCTATCGGAGCTCCCCTTACATCAATTGCCCCATTAGAACAGCTATTACATTGACTGTCCTCATCTGAGCCACCCTAATATCAACTGTCCCTGTCAGTCCCCCCCTTACATCAGCTGTCTTTTCTGTCCCCATCAGAGCCGCCCCCCTTATATCAACTGTCCCCATCAATGTCCCCCTTACATCAACTGTCCCCCTCAGAGTGCCCCCTTTCATCAACTGTCCCACTCAGAGTGCCCCCTTACATCAACTGTCCCCCTCAGAGTGCCCCCTTTCATCAACTGTCCCCCTCAGAGTGCCCCCTTTCATCAACTGTCCCCCTCAAAGTGCCCCCTTTCATCAACTGTCCCCCTCAGAGTGCCCCCTTACATCAACTGTCCCCCTCAGAGTGCCCCCTTACATCAACTTTCCCCATCAGAGCCCCCTTACATCAACTGTCCTTATCAGAGTCCCCCATACATCAATTCCCCATCAATGTCCCCCTTACATCAACTGTCCCCCTCAGAGTGCCCCCTTACATCAACTGTCCCCCTCAGAGTGCCCCCTTACATCAACTTTCCCCATCAGAGCCCCCTTACATCAACTGTCCTTATTAGAGTCCCCCTTACATCAATTCCCCCTCAGAGTCCCCCTTACATCAACTGTCCACCTCAGAGTGCCCCTTTTCATCAACTGTCCCCCTCAGAGTGCCCCCTTTCATTACCTGTCCCCCTCAGAGTGCCCCCTTTCATCAACTGTCCAGCTCAGAGTTCCCCCTTACATCAACTGTCCCCATCAGAGCCCCCCTTACATCAACTGTCCCCATCAGAGCCCCCCTTACATCAACTGTCCTTATCAGAGTCCCCCTTACATCAATTCCCCCTCAGAGTCCCCCTTACATCAACTGTCCCCATCAGAGCCCCCCTTACACCAACTGTCCTTATCATAGTCCCCTTTACATCAATTCCCCCTCAGAGTCCCCATTACATCAACTGTCCCCCTCAGAATGCCCCCTTTCATCAACTGTCCCCCTCAGAGTGCCCCCTTTCATCAACTGTCCAGCTCAGAGTTCCCCCTTACATCAACTGTCCCCATCAGAGCCCCCCATACATCAACTGTCCCCATCAGAGTCCACCTTACATCAACTGTCCTTATCAGAGCCCCCCTTACATCAACTGTCCTTATCAGAGTCCCCCTTACATCAATTCCCCCTCAGAGTCCCCCTTACATCAACTCTCCCCATCAAAATTCCCCTTACATCACTTGTCCCCATCAGAGTGCCTCATGGATCAGCGGATGCACTCTTAGAGACCTGGGGGGGAAACAACTAAAATCTGGGTGGGCACAGATCTGGGCCTATGGCAAACGGATCTCATATGGCGCCAGCACATGCACAGTAGGAGATCCCTGGATCTAGTATGGTGCATGCGCTGTACAAAAGCTGCAAACAAGATCCAGCTCCAAAAAAGTGTGTTTTAACCAAAAATGCTTGGGCTGAATGGTGTTTGGCATATGCATGAAAAGATGCATCCACCATGGATTTTAGTTTTTTTTTGAGGGTCCACTTTAGTTTCACCTTCTCTTTTGACTGCAATGCATTTTGCCAAAATAGCAAAATTTCGATGAAATCTCCTAAAATAAGTTTTAAGGTAATGAAAATTTTCAATTTTGTTTTTTCTTCAGGTGACTGGAACTTTAGGAGCCACTGTTGGGTTAATGAGAGGACTGATAAGGAAGTAGAAGGTGGAGAAGGTCCACCTGTGATTGGGAGCTCCACTGCTGGCCCGGCCCTGTGATTCTATTCTGATTTGTCTGTTCCACCCTAAGTAAGCATGTTATTTGAACTAGATTGACCCAGAAAAGAGGGATTGAGTGTTTTTACGGGGGGGTGTTTTTGTTTGCTGCCAATAAGCCTTCTGAGTTAGCAGTTTTTATAAACTCAAAAAAGATTAAAAAAAATGCTGGATGAAAAATTCTGATAATAGCGTTTTTGTGCCAGCTTGTAGTAGTGTTTAGAAGTGATTGCATTACTCTTTTTACAGTGCATGAAGAAAAAAAAAGCTGTTAGGAGCATTTTAGTAGAGCTTAGGAGTGTTCAGTGTTTTTTCTGCTGAGAGAAAACGCTCCCAAAAACTCTGCAAAAACACAACTTTTTTTTTCTTCTGCTCCTAAATGCTGAAGCTTGAAAAACGCTTTTAGCATACAATAATATGCATGGACACATAGGATAACACTATTATCTTGTAGGAAAAGTAAAAAAAATGCTCATAATAGTTTCTAGGAGCTTAAAAAAATGCTAGTGTGCATGGGGCCTTTAGTAGAAAAAAAAGCCTAACACTATCCATTCTTAAAGGATAAGTTCACCTTTTAGAAAAATAATAAATGCACATATTTTTGCAGGTAAAATAATGTGAAGTTATTTTTTTTTTTTTTTTTTTTTTACAAAGCCTGCAAAGTATTGCACAATCAGTGTATTGTGGATGCAATCTCAGGCCCCTGCTCTTCCTCCAGCTTTCTGGCCATACCCAGGGGTGTATTTACCACAAGGCATTTGCCTAGGGCGGCATTTTTCAAGGGGGCAGCACCCCGCCAAGAAAAAGGGACATATGCGGCATGGGGACCAGGTGGGATCCCCCCCCCCCCCCCCCCCCCCCCCCCCCCCCCCCCCCCCACATCCGAAAAGGGCTGCTTGATAGTGAATACAGAGCCCGACTCTCATTCCCGGGGAGCCGTGAAGGTGAGTGTCTCTCTGTTGCAAGGGGGGTGGTTGTTAGTGGAAGGCTCTCTGGTGGGGGGGGGGGGGCAGGGGTGTTGTTGGACAATGTCAGGCTCTCTCCTGGGGAGGGGGGGGAGGGGGTCTGGTGTTGGTGGGTGTCAGGCTATCTCTGCCGGGGGGGCATCTTAAATACACCCCTGGCCATACCCCCCATACAGGCAGTCAGAAAGCTGGAGGAAGATTCAATGGACCACGAGTGTGCTGATAAATGACTGAAAGTCCATTGAGACCTTCAAGCCATCTGCCACAATGGAAGATGGGACTTTCCACTCCCATGCTATGATCACAAAAAATAATTTTACCCCTTATGGTTTAAATATAGAATGGGACATACTTTACACCTATATACATTACACTATATCAGGCTGCATACTTGTAGGGAATACACAATAAGCACTTTTAATTTCATGACATCACAGGACATGTAAATTGCACATCATTATTTGTATATTAAAGTATTTATATCATTTGTATAAATAGTATTTTATAAATCATAAATCCTCTTTAGTGTCAGTGACTTTTTACAAATATATTCTTCAATATAATACTCCCATAATCTGATTAATAATCGCCGTGTACCTCCAAATAAAGCCGTGTACCTCCAAAAAATAAAACTAGATAGTGTATTATCCTCAATATATAAGTGATTAAATCATATATACATATGTGAAAAATTGTGCACACTCAAAAAAACATGAAATAGTGAGGCACTCCATGTACACTCCAGTATAAACACTTCTCCGTGGACACTCCATGGACACTTCTATGTGGCTAAAGTAAATACCCTTACCTAAATATGTGATAAAAAGCCTGCTAAGAGAATAATCCAGTGGGTCATCAATCATCAGGATTATCCCACAAACATTATACCAAATGCCGGGTTATCCCATACTTCCAAATCATGTCGTAGTATTTCCCAGAGCCATCCATAGGCACTCATTCATAGAAAGAGAAATAGCCATATAATGTAGTATTTCAAATTAATAAGATCCAAGCTTTATTGAGTATACTTGCATTAAATTAAGTATAAAATCGCATGTATTCCCAATTCCCATCTCACGAGCAGCTTCCTGGAATTCCAATAGCGATATAACCTCAATTAAGATGGCCGCTCCGCCACTTCCGGTCACCGTGCAACGTCCAACGTCACGACCCTTCACGCGTTTCGTCACTTCCTGACTTCCTCATAAGGCTCACTGTATCTTCAAGAAAAAATAATTTGGATGGCTTCACTCTGACCATGAAAGCCACCTTTATTCTAGGATATCCTTAACCACTTCCAGACCGGACACTTTTACCCCCTTCCTGACCAGGGCAATTTTCAGCTTTCAGCGCTATCACATTTTGAATGACAATTGCACGGTCATGCAACACTGTACCCAAATGAATTTTTTATAATTTTTTTTGACACAGATAAAAGCTTTATTTTGGTGGTATTTATTCACTGCTGGGATTTTTATTTTTTTTGCTATGTAAATGAAAAATTCCCAAAATTTTGAAAAAAAAGTGTTTTTTTTAATAAAATTTTGCAAATAAATAATATTTCATCATAAATCTTTGCCAAAATGTATTCCGTTATCTTTTTAGTAAAAAAAAAATCCAAATTAGTTTATAACCTTCTCTTCTCTTCAGGGAAGCCTACCCCACCCCCTGCTAACTTGCCGACCTCCTCCACTCTTCCTACCACTCCATCCCCCACAGCTATCTCCTCCTGTGCCACCACCCCCTCCCTCCTAGATTGTAAGCTCGAAAGAGCAGGGCCCTCAATCCCCTCATGTTTTGCATTGTATTGGTATTGTTCTGTCACATGTTCTGTCCCCCTTTGTAATGTACAGCGCTGAGCGAACTATTGGCGCTTTATAAATACTGTATAATAATAATAATAATAATAATAACCAACCAAAAATTATAATTTTTAAACATTTTTTTTTACATTTTTATTTTATTTTTTTATATTATTTTTTATTTTATTTTATTTTTTTTACATACTGTCACCCTAGCAGTACAGTGTCACCATGGTGACACTGTACTACTTGTGGGGGGTGATGAAGATTTTTTTTTTTTTACACTGATTGCTTTTACACCCTTATAGGATGTAAAAGCAATCATTTCTCTTTCTCTATGTCTGCATTCTTGCACTCATTGAGAAGTACTGAGTGAGCTGTGATTGGTCACAGCTTGTCACATGGTACAAGGCTGTTGTGAATAGCCTTGTATCATGTGACCTCTCTGATCATTCACAGATTTCACACGTAGTAAGCAATGATGTCACAAGTGACATCTTGCTTACTACTTTGCATGTGATCACTGATTGGCCAATCAGTGAGCACATGATCGGGACCTCGTACAGAGGTCCCGTCCGACGATCATGTGTTTCACTGTGTCCGGAGGACACAGCGGGCACTGGATCGTGGTGCTGCGCGCTCCCAGGGAGCACGCACAAGCAGGGTGCGGGGAGGCCGTTTATAAACAGCCACCCGACCCTGCACTGCCACCGTCCGGCCGTTTATATGCAATGGCCGGTCGGGAGGTGGTTAAAATGACAAGCAATAGCATAGAAACAGCAGTGGAAGGCTGATGCGTTTTGCGCCTATTTCAGCATTTAATCACAAACTCTTTGCTCCTCCCATGAACTTCCAGATTTAAGCCGTATTTCTGCACTTTCTGTTTTGCCAGATTATTGTGCTATCTCCAGCCAGTACCTTGCTCCTTTGCATACCTGCAGCTCTCCTTCTCTTCACTACCACTCGTTACTGAGCTTTGGCTTGTCCCTCAACTATGTTTCTGCTTGATCCCAACCTGCAACCACTTGTTTACCGACTTTTGACTTGGTTTTCTCCCCACCTGGTAGGGCTATCCTGAGGACTGTGACCTGGTACTAACATGCAGCAAAACCCATCTCCTCTATCAGGCGCTCTGATGAATACCGGTTAGTGCTTGGGCCCAGCACCTTGGGTAAGCCAGAGTCATCCACCAGAGTGACCTGCTTGTATACCTTTCCTGTGGTCAGTGGGAGCCTCTCCACTGCTATAGCTACTGATCTCAGAGCCTGACCCCTGACTGTGACAACTCTTCATGTATCTCACTAATACCTGCCATCGATTTGTCCTTGTGCACTAGGTGATTTAATATTAGCAATGGAAGAACCTTGACCAGTTCTTTATGAGAGTATCTATGTCAGTCAGTGTTTCTCAACTCCAGTCCTCATGGACCCCCAACAGGTCATGTTTTCAGGATTTCCCTCAGATGAAACAGCTGTGGTAATTACTAAGGCAGTGAAACTGATCAAATCACCTGTGCAAAATAATGGAAATCCTGAAAACATGACCTGTTGCGGGTCCATGAGGACTGGAGTTGAGAAACACTGCTATAAGTGGATCTGATGATGGTCTTATTATGTTCATCCTCATTACATAATTACTGGGGTTGACTATAGTATAGTTGACTAGAGTAAAGTGCAATTTTTTCCGAGTACATGTTTAGGTATTATTGAAGTGTTCACTTTAAAGTATATGTACATGTTAACAATAATTTATTTTCTCCTTTTTGGTCTGGTAAATATACCATTGAATGTATCTATCTATCATGTACCTGGTGTTAGAGGCCAATGGAGAGAGGGCTTCCCTTGCGGCTAGGTTCCACACTCCCCTGAGAGTGGGACAGCGGGAATCAGGCCCAAAGTGGTACAGGTCACCTGTAGGAGTGCTCGTTGGTGGTCCACCCAGGAGCACAGCTGATGCAATGAGATGGGATCTGCAGACAGGTGATGCCTGTGCAAGGTATGCAAGCCTTTCGGGAAACAGAGGATCACAAGATAGCCAGTTCAAAGCCAAGGTCGGGTACCAGGTGGAAATCAGAGCAGACGTAGTCAGATAGGATAGACAAGGTCATACACAGAGGAGCGAGAGTATCCATTAGCCAAGCCGATGTCAGATCAGGGGTTAACCTCTTGCCGACCGCGCACAGCCGAATGACGGCTTCATCGCGGCCGGCCAGTTCTGAGTGGACGTCATATGACGTCCTCTCAGAACGCGCTCTCCTGCGCGCCCCAGGGGGCGCGCACCCGGCGATCTCCGTGATCGCTGTGTCCTACGCCACAGCTGATCACGTGATGTGGTGAAAGGCCGATCCCACCGGCCTTTTACCACGTGATCAGCGGTGTCCAATGACACGCTGATCACAGGGAAATGCAAGTGCCGGTTCTCGGCTGCACTTTCCTCACGCTGTCAGATCGTGAGGAAAGTACTGCCGAGAACCGGCAGTTGTCAGAGCGGGGATCGGCACCGATCATCAGGGCACTGATGATCAGTGCCCTGATGATCGGTGCCCAGCAGTGACACCCGCAAGTTCCGCCCAGCAGTGCGCCCACTAGCCCCACCCACCCGTGCCCAGCAGTGCACCCACCTGTGCCTAGCAGTGCCCCCACCTGTGCCCAGCAGTGCACCCACCTGTGCCACTCTGCAGTGCCACCTACCTGTGCCCAGAAGTGCCACCTACATGTGCCAGCAGTGCCACCCACCTGTGCCCACCCACCTGTGCCCACCAGTGCCACCCACCTGTGCCCACCAGTGCCACCCACCTGTGCCCACCCACCAGTGCTGCCCCCCAGTGCCGCCCACCAGTGCAGCCCAGCAGTGCTGCCAGTCAGTGCCACCAGTCAGTGCCCAGGGGTTGTGCCAGTCAGTGCCGCCAGTCAGTGCCCAGAAGTGATGCCAGTCAGTGCCGTCTATCAGTACCAATCATCAGTGTCACCTATCAGTGCCGCCTATCAGTGCTGCATATCAGTGCCGCCTATCCGTGACCCCTAATTAGTGCTGTCTATCAGTGCCGCCTATCCGTGCCACCTCATTAGTACTGCCTATCAGTGCCCTTTAGTGCTGCATATCAGTGCCCATCAGTGCCGCCGCCTATCAGTGCCCATCAGTGCCGCCTCATCAACGCAAATCAGTGAAGGAGAAAAAATACCTGTTTGAAAATTTTTATAAAAGAAACAAATAAACTTTTTTTTTTTTTTCAAATTTTTTGCACTTTTTTTAATTTATAGCGCAAAAAGTAAAGCGCCCAGTGGCGATTAAATACCACCAAAAGAAAGCTCTATTTGTGAGAAAAAAATGATCAAAATTTCATATAGGTACAATGTTGCATGACCGCGCAATTGTCAATCAAAGTGCGGCAGCGCTGAAAGCTGAAAATTGGCCTGGTAAGGAAGGGGGTATAAGTGCCTGGTAGGCAAGTGGTTAAGCAGAGAAGACAGGTCCAAGAGCAAGCCGAGTCAGTATCAGGAAATTAGAGATCACAATAGCACAGGAACAAGGTACTGGGAAGCCAGAGATCAACCAGCACCTAAGAGTAGGGCAGGGCTTCCTTATAAAGGCTGTTTGGAGCCAAATTTAAGCTGATGTGAACTTCTGCGGCCATGCAAGGTACTGGCAGAGGTGCCAGGTCTCCTAACACCTCTGCCGAGGGCAGAGCCCTGACACTATCTGTTTGATTAAATGCAAATATTCCTATTGACCCAGCAAAAATAACTTCCACTGCACCCTCTAGTGTTCTCTCAAATTCGGTTATTGACTCTACCCAGGTCACCTCTGTGGTCTAGAGTGGAGATGTGCACAATGGAAAAATTTGTTTCGTTACAGATTCAGCCAGTAAGTAAATCATTTTTTATCATGTTAGAATGATTGATTTGTTTTTGGCATTAAATAAAGAAAAAAATTTCTCTTGCACTGCCAAACCTAATATGATAAACTAAGAGTGGCTGCAAACACCAAATTGCATTCCCACAACACTAAAAAATAAATATAGATTTTGGAAGGAAGTGTGGTGGCATCATTTCTGGTCGAATGGCGGCTGCCATCTTGGTACACCTGTTGCTTTGTATTTTATTACCAATGCTTGTATGGGCCTGCTGGCCTGATTTTAAAAGTTGAGTATTCTATACCTGGTGTTTATACATTAAACATGGATGTATTACACTATGACATGTCCTTTGATGTTTTTTTGAACATGGATTTCTGATGAGAAATTGCGGAAGGAGCCAGTAAAGTACGCTTACAGAGGAAAGCTGGTTGGATTTCGGGTTGACATTAACCATTTCCATACAGGGCACTTTTACCCCCTTCCCTACCAGGCCATTTTTCAGGTTTCAGCGCTCTCACACTTTGAATGACAATTGCGCGGTCATACAACATTGTACCCAACTAAAATTTTATCATTTTCTTCACACAACTAGAGCTTTATTTTGGTGGTATTTAATCACCGCTGGGGTTTTTATTTTTTACTAAATTAACAAAAAAAGTCCGAAAATTTTGAAAAAAAAAAAAAAACACGTTTTTCTTTGTTTCGGTTATAAAAGTTTACAAATAAACAATCGTTCTTCATAAATTTAGGCCAAGATGTATTCTGCTACATGTCTTTGGTGAAAATAACCCAAATTAGGATGTATTTTTTAGTTTGTAGGAAAGTTATAGAGTTCACAAACTATGGAATAGATCTGAAAATTGATCAATCCTGAAGTACTGACAGCCAATCTAATTTCTTGAGGTCCAAGAATGTCAGAACAGTACAGATATCCCCCAAATGTCAGGACAGTACAGATATCCCCAAATGTCAGAACAGTACAGATATCCCCCAAATGTCAGGACAGTACAGATATCCCCCAAATGTCAGGACAGTACAGATATCCCCAAATGTCAGAACAGTACAGATATCCCCCAAATGTCAGGACAGTACAGATATCCCCCAAATGTCAGGACAGTACAGATATCCCCAAATGTCAGGACAGTACAGATATCCCCAAATGTCAGAACAGTACAGATATCCCCCAAATGTCAGGACAGTACAGATATCCCCAAATGTCAGAACAGTACAGATATCCCCCAAATGTCAGAACAGTACAGATATCCCCCAAATGTCAGAACAGTACAGATATCCCCCAAATGTCAGGACAGTACAGATATCCCCAAATGTCAGAACAGTACAGATATCCCCCAAATGACCACTTTTTGCAAAGTAGACAGTCTGACGTGCTTCATAACAGGCATGGCGGGTTTTTTGAAGTTGTATTTTTTTGTCATAATTTTTCGGAAAATTAAAATATTTTTTTAAAAATTCAGATTTTTTTTTTACATACTGTCACCAGTGCAGTACAGAGTCATCATATAACTGGCATGGTGGTGATCAGGGACACTGACTGGTGACAGTATGAAAAAAAAAAAATTACATTTTTATTATTTTTAATTTTTTATTACATTTTTTTTCTTTTTGTTAAGATTTTTTTTTCACATTTCACTTTGACCAAAGTAGTACAATGTTACCATAGTAACATTGTACTACTTTGGGGAAGTGATCAGTATTTTTTTTTTTCTACACAATTTTCTTATAGCAAAGAATTACTGCAGTACAGATCTTGATTTTTACTACATTTACAGACATTTATTTACAATCACTGGGTTGAGGACTCAGCTGGGTGTTTATTATACAACATTTTCTTTTATAGTTATCAGTATTATTATTTTTATTTATGCCTTGATAGATAGAGATAGATAAAACTCGGATTGTCTATTTGCACATACTGTATGTTGAAGTTTCACTTATTGATTTGTTCATATTTGGTATTGACCAGCAGGGCATCTAGTCTGTTTGGATATTTTCATTTACTTGTGTTTGGTTATTCTCTAGGTATGCACTGATAGCACCTTAGTTAGGGGCTCTGTCAGGTGTTTACTTTTGCTTTATGGTTTGGTTTAGGGAGTAGCGCAGCACTATTTATTCATTTGTTTTTGGCATTAGTTTTGTATATTCAAATTTGTTTTGTATATTCCTTGTTTTGAATCGATTAGTTTTTTCAGAAGTTATTTGGAAAGAGTCACTATATTTTTTTAATGTGTTCATGAATATGTTAATTCATTAGTTTGGAACAATGTTTTTTCAAATTCATTTGTGATGATTTAGAGATTCATATGGATCCACCTCCATCCAACCTAAATACAAGAAGTAGGAATCCTCTTATTTCACTTTTTTTACCTTGCTATATCTAATGCAATATGTTTCCATTTAATATGTATATATTTTTTTTTTATAATGTAAAAAGAATCGGCTGATTATCCAAGAGTCAAAGACTACCATGCCGCTCTCATTTGAATAAAACAAAAGGATTCGAATCAATTTGGATCATTCTTCATGTCATTATATTATTTTGATATGTTATATGCTTCAAACATTTAACAAAAGGCCCAAACTATCACATCATGTCATCTGAATGAAATGAATGAATTTGTTGTTTTCTTTTATAATTTTAGAATTCAATTTGTAAGGAAATGAATTGCGCATGTCTAGTCTAGAGAAAATTCTTCCCCGCTGTGAACGTCAACATCTGTTTAGCGGCGTTTGCATACCGCTTTTATGCACGTTTATGCTTAGAAGTGTTTTTTTTAAAGATAACCTTCCAAAATGCCCAGAATGCACTAAAGAACAGTAAAAAATGTACTATTTGAGAGAAATAGAGAGGGCAGAAGCAGAGAGAGTAGTATTTGTTAAGGTTAGCTTTTTTTTTTGTGGTGTTTGGATGTGTTCCAGCTCATTTCTGTGCAGAAATTATTGCAGCAATGTCTAACATATTTTATTTCAAGAAGTACCTCAAAGTATAGTGTACCGGGTCCATTTGAATACAAGGAAAACGCTTTGCATGCATTTTTCATGATGAAAAAAGGTTCTGGACAGCATCTGGAAATGGAAGAGTTAAATTTGCTTTTAGCTGCGTTTACAGGCATTTGGCGTTTGAAACGCTGATAAAATCTACTCCTGAACGCAAGTTTGGTGCGTTAAAAAAAACGACTGTGAACTCAACTGCCTGTAAATGACTGTAAACGACAATGTGTACATGAACACATAGGAAAACATTAGGGAGAGTTCAGGGGCTGCTGAAAAAAACGCAGAAAAGATCCTAAATGTCAGTTTATCAGCTGCAGTGTACTTGGAGCCTAACAGAAAAATTAACTAAATAAAACTGCATATACAGAACTCTAGGGAATACACACATGGTTTTTCTTTCATTCAACCAATGGGTTGAAAGAAAAAAACTGATAGATCTCCCCTGCTATGCTATTGTTTTCTGACAGTGGGTAAAATCCCCCCCACCTTTTTAGGATACACCGATCAGCACTGCAACCATTGGTTGCATGTGCTAATCAAATGCAAGTTTTCCATCAGGGCTGTTTGACAGAGGCCATTTGTTAGATTGTACATACATGCCAAAATTTGTCCGATTCCTGCTGAACCGGCTGAATTTCAGAACATGTTTACCCAACTTTGATCCACGTTTGATCCAGTAGAAGGCAAAAAAAACCCTGATCCATAATCCAATTTTGCTCTAACAGGGAAAAAAATTCCTTTGCGATCCTCACAGGCAATTGGATGCTCCCAGGATTAACAATCTTAAGCTACACTACAGTGAATG